ATGTAATTATTTCCATTTTGGGCCCTTATTTGTAATTATTTTCATTTTTTGGGCCCTTATATGTAAATTCCCCTAAAAAAAACTAGTTATTATAATAAAATAGAGATTAAATAAGAAAATACCCTATTTAAAATTTTTAAATTTTTATCATTGTTTAAACTTCTAAAAATTAACCTAATAGAGTACATGTAACATATGATAGTAATGAGTAGCTTTTCTCAAATAATTTACGAACATATTAATACTGTATTGTAATGATTTAGTTTAATATTTATTTTTTTGGTTAATTAAACATCTAACTAAATTAGAATCATGATTGAAAAAGGCACTATATGAGGTTGGATTATTGGTTTAATTATGCATGCACCTGATTTACGCTGAAGAAATTTAGTTTTTCCAAATTCAGAAGTTATATGTAAGCACCAAACATATAATTAAATATTCACTACTTAGCATATGACTTTATATCAACTCAATACAAAGTTTTCTCACGACTATAATTAGATATTTTATTTAAGTATATGATCTAAATTAAATATCAGATCAAATCACAAAATCGCAGAATCAGATTATATTTTATTTATACAATCATTTATAACAATATTAGGAGCAACGGCCCTTCCAAAAAAGACAAGATCGCCCGGTCCTAAGACGGGCCGGCGGTCCATCGGTTTGAGTCGGACTACTTAATAGCCCTATTTAGAACCACAGATATTGGTCCGAGACCATAAATCTGGGTTTGGAACCATAGATCTTGGTTTGAGACCATAGACCTTGGCTCGGAACCACGGATCTTGGTTTGAGACTACAGACCGACCATGGCTATTTTGCCATGTATAAATATGACAGCTAAACTGATAAAGAGAAATAATAATTTTCGAGAGAATTCCGATGTGTCATAAATAAAGTACCTTATGAATCGTATACCAACTAAATACATCCTTAATAACCTATTATCATTAAGTCCGAATCCCCTAATGAACATCCATTCAGCATAACTTATGCTTGTAACCCTGAGCTAATTTGATCTCACGTTAGCCACGGTTACAACATGATTTGAGATTAGAATCAAGTTGGGGTTAGGTTAGAATTACACAAGGATTTAATGTAAAGCTTAATATTAAATTGTGAGTAATTTTTTTAGTCAAATTATGAAATAGAAAAATTTTTCATAATTCTGTCAACACAATTCTTGCTCGCTAAGTATTACGTAAATTTTTAGTGTACATAAATTTTGTTTGCATGCAATTCGTATCATTGGATCGATCCTAAATTGTATCCTCCGTAATAGCCAAAATTTTAATGACAAGTAATTAATACGATTCTTTTGTCAATAAATTAATGGTAACAATTCTATATATATTATTATACTACGTGTAATTGTATCTATTTAACTCTTAAATAATCTTTATCCAGTATTTATAAATTATATGATTTTTAAGACATCAATAAAATAGTGGATTGTAATTATCGTTATATTTCTTTTATTGTATATATCAAGTAAGAAAAATAGAAACACGTATAATAAAGTAAAGATATATATATCAAATAAGAAAAATAGAAATACGTATAATAAAGTAAAGATAAATAAATTAACAAAGGCTTTTTTTTGCGATAATTTGATATAAGATGCATATTGATATGTCAAATTTAAAATTACATATGTACGTATATCAGTTTATTGGTTCTACCCTGAAATCCCGAATGACAGGTTCGACTGAAAAAGACATATTACCGACAAAGTTAGCCAGAATTAGTTATAATGCTAACCAATTCAGTCAGTATTATGTCCTTTTGGGAAAATGGCTTTCGGGATTTCAGGGTAAAACTCAGTTTATCATTAACGTACGCACATACGAAGTTTACATAAATAAAATTGGTAGATTTTCTTTAAATTGTTCTTGGTATCGCTTTTCTAGGCTTCTTTTCAAACTCAACACTATCGTTATATGACATAAATTGTAACTTTGTATCCATGGATGATATTTGTAAGCAAATTTTTTCACTTATTAACGGAGATAGAAGATGTTTCCTACTAGTCCATATACAGGATATCTTTAACAAATTTTTAGCATAAAGTAAGTTTAATATTTTAGCATAATAGTATAATAAAATGAAATATCATTTACCCGTAAAATATCAATTCTTTAATAACTGTAGTTTCATTATCTCCAATGTTATTCTTGATATATAACTAATAATAAAAAAATATGAATTGTTAGCTTAGTTAATATCAATGTTAAAGATTTAGAAAATTTGAAAATACATGTTTAATTACATACAACTATATTGGTTACTTTTTGGAATTTAACAGATTTCAAAGGAATAATTGTGTTATTTTCATAATCTGCTCTAATAAATTCTAACTTCTGAGTTTCTTTGATTGCTTCAGCATCATCAAAACTTAATATAATAGGTCTGTTAATAAAAAGTTTTACTTCTTTGGGAGCTTGGTCTAATAAAAATAGAACATTATTATTTACATAGCTAGCTTTATATAGAATTAAGATAAAATATAACTAACCAATATTGTTATGAACAATTTTTATTGAATGAAGGTCGATAGCTTGATTAAAAGGAATTGATATAATAAGTTCTGCACCATCATTTGATTCTAGACATGTGTCATCATTTTTAAAAATGCTTTGGATATGTTCTTCCTGCTGATCAAGGTGCTGATTAAGGCATTCTACTTGTGTGCGTTTAATGAACCTATTAACCTTTATCTGAAATTTATAATTATATAAAAAATTAAATTATTATTAGATAATATTAATAACAAATACTGTCAACTCCGGATATATGGTCTATAATCAAAATTTTTAAACCGAACTCTGTAATAATTTGTTAAAAACAAACTCGTTATGGAGTTGGGTTCATTATAAAAACGTTTGTTATATCCAGAGTTTACTGTAATTAATTCAAAATTTCAAAATTTCTCTCAAGAGTATAATGAAAAAAAATTACGTACGAGTGAATTTGAATCATTTTCTTCATTTTCTCTGGGCATTTTAATATGCTTTAGAAGGAGTCTTATCATTTTAGTTCTATCAGCACCAACGAGTCTTTCAATTTCCACTCCATTCTTGAAAAATAGAAAAGTTGGACTAATATAAAAAAAACTTAAGCTTATTAATTTGCATATATAAATTATAAAAATCTAGAAGATTAACCTCACTTACAAAGCATTTACTAGAGCTTCTTCAACAACACTTGAACTCGATGCACTCTCATGAACAACCTGATAAAATTAAACTGCATGTTCAGTAAAATATTTACAGTAATCAAATCTATATATTCAAATCCTACCATTGCAAATTTTGCATGTTCTTCATATCTTGAACTCAATTCTGCAAAAACTGATACAACAATTTGGCTGTAAATACAATACGTTGAGTGGAAAAATATTACACTCTAAATTTTGAAATGATTAAAATTAATTTAACGTTAATATGACTTTTAAAATTTAAAGTTATTAATTTATACCAATTTTGATGAACCATTGATAAAGTCTTTATATTCTTTAACTTTGGTAATAGTAGTGTACGATTGTCTGTATTGTTCAATGTTGGTAGTGATAACGCTCATTTTAAATAAGACTTGTATGATAAATTTACTCTTAGTGTAAAGGTAAATAAATGATTTTTTATCGCGTTAAAATGTTATTTGGATCAGAAAGATGAAAGAAAATATTGTGAAAGGTATATTTTTATTAAAATTTAATTGGTATATTTTTGGTATCTGCGGAATTTAATTCCCGGTATTACGTAATAACGATAAGTTTGATTTTAAGTTTTCGCCTTAGTGCATGACATACTTAGTTTAGGCAAAAGCTGTGCTTGCAAAGCAATAGAACTTACTGGAAGTGTAAAGAAAGTTCTGAACAAAAGTTAGAAATTGATTTAACTAACAAAGAACCATCGTATTCATCAAGCATGGATATTCTTGGTATATACATTATTTCTATGAGGGAATTCTAGGCCCTTTACTTTATTAAGATTGATAATTTAAGAAATTTTATTTTCAATGTGCTACCAGTTATGCATAATCTCTATACCTGATGCAGGTTTTAAAATTTCCTGCATTGTAGTTCAGTAGTTAAGATCTGCAACGACCTATACGTAGCGATAGGCAGGATTATGGAATATATCAATCTTATTAAATCAAAATTAGATTTATTGAAATAATAATTAATTAAATGAAATACTTTTTTTTTAAAAAAATTGAACCTCAAGACTAGCTCTACACTATTTTTTTTTTTAATATTTTTATAAAAAATATTTAGAACGCTGATGATTAGTGTTCTTACTTTTGATTATTAATATGCTTTTATTTTTTAAAAAAAAATAATTAAAAAAAAATAACTCTATTTCAGCTTAATTATAGGTTGAATTTCAATTTAAAAAATTGCATATTGTTTAATTATTTATTTAATAAATGTAATTTTATTTTTGGTAAAATTTATAGCGATAATCATTAATGTGGTGAATATCGATTTACAGTATAGATTTGCATGTCTGAAATCTGTGCCAGGTTACATAGTGATAGTAACCGCAATAAAATTTCGCGGACACGTGATGGTATAGGGCTACAGTATTTTCTATTTTAAAATTTGATGTAACAATAACAATGATGATCTATTATTAGTATAATCTGTTGGATCGACAATGTACCGTAGTGATTGTACTCTGGTCAAGTATTACTTGGGTTAACCGTCATAGACAGAGCAGACATTCGTATGATTGGCAGTTTAAATCAATTTAATTTTACATCATTTATACAGTTTATATTACTTTTTAAAAAAAATAAAACTACTACGAATAAACAAAAATGAAGTATATAGAAAGTTTTATTAGAGTTGTAGGATTCCACTATTAAAAATAATCCAACTTTTTTTTGTTTTAGAGAAGTTAGCATGGTGATAACCTAATTTTAAGTCGCTACTATGCTAACTTCTCTAAAACAAAAAAGAATTCTGATTATTTTTAATAGTTGAATCCTATAACCCTAATAAAACTTTCTATATACTTCTTTTTTGTTTATTCGTAGTAGTTTTATTTTTTTTAAAAAGTACTTTAAA